TTCCGCTAATTGTTGTTTGACCAGGTCATGGGCTGCTTGTATCTTTTCTTTAGTCAGGGACCACTGAGGAACCCATACTGGTCTTTCTGATTTCCAAGTAATTTTTATTGTCTCAGTGGCCCTTTCTGAAAATCCAACCCATGTCTTTCTGTTCCTTGATCTATTTGTATTGGTGCTGCTATACCTTGTTCTTGTTTTTCTAATCTTTTTCCTTTCCTAAAACCTTGTCTAGTCATAATAGTGGGTGCATTTTGGTTGATGTTGTTTGTTAATGTCAAACCTAATTGATCTAGGACATCTCGTCCCCATAAATTTACGGGAAGATGATCCAATACATATGGCTGTATAGTTCCTTCACATCCTTCAGGATCCTTCCAATCTAATACCATTGCACTTCTACGGGGATTAGTCGCCACTCCTAGGCCTCGAAGCGTTTGAGTGGCTTGTTGTAATGGCCAATGTTTTGGCCATTCTTGACGAGAGATGATGCTAAGGTCTGCACCTGTATCCAGTAGACCATTAAATTCATGTCCTTGAATATTTAGTTTTAGCATGGGGCGAGAATCTAAATTTAAAGAAAGCATAGCCCAATCTACACCTGTGGAGCCTAATCCCTTGGAACCTCTTTCTACAGTACGACTGGAAAATTTATCATGTAGGCTGGGTATTATTAGTAACTGTGCTATTCTATCTCCTGGTGAAATTACTGATATACCCTTTGGAGAACTGGCTATAATTTTTATTTCACCTTCATAATCGGGATCAATTACCCCAGGACTTATCATAAGTCCTTTTAGAGTAGAAGAGCTGCGTCCCAATAATAAGCCTACTGTTCCTTTGGGAAGAGGTCCTTTCACCCCTGTGGGAATGATTTGAATTCCCATCTCTGGAGTTAGTACTGCTCTGGCGGAGGCGCAGATGTCCAACCCTGCGCTCCCTCTGGTTTGTCTGATGAGGGATCTGATGGACAATGTGTCCTGGGCACTACCCTGATGGGGTTGCTGGGTTCCTCCAGTGCTCCGTATATTTGTGGTTTTGGGCCCCGGAGCATTGGGCCCCCCTGTCCATTTTTTGGCAATGGAGCCCGATGCCTTTCTCCACGATATCGTGGATAAACACCTGGTCCTTGTTCGTTTTTTGATAATGGAGTACCCTCTATGGTGGTTTGAGAACGGCATTCATTAGCCCAATGTCTCCCTCTACGGCATCGTGGGCAAATACCTGGTATTCTACTCCTTTGATACCTAGTTTTGTTAAACCCTCCTCCAATGGGGCAATTCCTTTTAAAATGTCCTGTTTGTTCACAATTGTAGCATGTTCTTGGCCTGGCATCTAAAGCCTGTTTTACTGCAGCTGCCACAATTTGCCCTTGTTCATTAATGTCTCTGGCATCTAAAGCCTGTTTTACTGCAGCTGCCACGACTTGCTCTTGTTCATTAATGTCTCTACATAATTTAATATATGTGTTTAAATCTTCATGTTTCCATGGTCTAATGATATCTCTGCACCAACGATTCGCTTGCTCATAAGCCAGGTGTTTTAGTAATGGCATTGCTTGTTCTGTATTCCCAAAAACTCTGGTAGCTGTTTGAATAAGCCTATCTACAAATTCAGCATAAGGTTCATTAGCTCTTTGTATTACCTTAGATAATTGACCTTGTAAACCTCCATGTCCTTGTAAAGTCTTCCATGCCTTAATTGCATCTGCAGCCATTTGTGCGTATACGCCAGGATCATATGCAATTTGTTGCTGCTGATCCTCATAAGGTCCCTTTCCTAACAACATATCTAGATTTCTCTGAGGATAACCAGCTGCTGCATTTCACCTAGCCGTCTCCTTGCAAAATTCCTCATTGGCAACCTTCCATAACAGGTATTGTCCTCCATTTAGCACAGCTTTACACATATTAGCCCAATCTGCTGGTGTCATGTTCAAGTTGTTAATGGATTCGACCATGCTTACAGTGAAGGGTGCTTGAGGACCATAGGTTGTTACGGCCTCTTTTAGCTGCTTCACTGTTTTGAAATTTAAAACTTGGTAAAATTGCTGCCCTCCTGCCTCAAATACAGGGCATGTTAATATTTGAGATCTTGTCTCAGGATCCCAACTATCAACTGCGGGGGTTGGGGACCTCCCAGCATATGGAGGTGGCCTTGTTAGTTGGACACTTACATCCTCTGGTGATAGAAAGGTGTTAGTAGCAGTCTCCTGTTGTAACTTTCCCCCTGATGGCTTTTTCTGTTTTACACTTTCTTTCTCTGTCTGACTAGCTTGAGAGGCCTTCTCTTTTACTTGAATCTTTTCCTCTGTCTGACTAACTTGAGAGACCTTCTCTTTTACTTGAATCAATATGTCTTCTCCTTCCTCTACCATTGTCTGAACTGAAGGCTTTGGACTAAGCAAACAAGATATGAACGTCCACAATGGCAATGTGCCAACTGGCAGAGTCCCTGGGCTTTTCTTTTCTATTCTTTTTAAATCTTCACCATGATGGTTCCATTGTGATATATTTAACAACTCCTCCTTAAAAAGCCATGGGCTACATTTTTGTATTGTATCAACGTATGCCCTGATTGTTCTTGATTTTACTGAGATGCCTCCTTCCTCTAACAATTTACTTAACACTCTTTCAGTTTGTTTTTTACTAATTTCTGATCCCGTATTTCTACTATAATACAACCCAACAAGATAACGCCTAACAAAACTGAAACTGAGTGAAACAAAATTGGAACAACACAAAATCATTATAATAGCCTCCTGAAATGTCCATCCGTCCTTTCTCCCTATCTGTTCCTCAGATGTGAGCGGTTTTTCTTCCATCTTACACATCTCCAGGGACAGGCAACTTAAAACAAAAGTGAAACAAAATAACAAAAGAAGAATCTTAAAATGGCTACCCATCCTCTCGCCCTGCCCTCAGGGGCGAGCAGTTCACTTACCCTCAGTCGCTCCCCGTGCGAGCCACCAAATGCCGCAGTCTGGCTGGGCACAATCAGGAGCCACTTGTCAAAAGAAACTAACTTTATTTTTAGAACCACACACGCCAAACAAAACAGCCTCTCAGGAAAAACCCTCAGAGCCTCAACTGCCACCACCGGCTTTCCACAAGCCTCTCTCTCCCCCACAAGCTTCTCTCCACCTCCCACAATCCTCCTGCTCTTGAGGCCGATTGGCTGGGTCACGTGGGCGGAGCCAAAAAAGTCCCCCAACGAGCAGCTCCGTGGTCTGAAAGGGCAGGGACACAGCCCAATGAGCATCACCGCAGAGGAGCCAATCAGCTAGATGTTGCTGGGGCCGCTGTGAGCCAATCATCAGCCGGCAGCTGGAAGTTTGCTGGGGCCCCTTCGGCTGTGGCTCTCAACAACTCAGTATGTTATGGGTTCAGCAAAACTCCAACCTGGGTCAGAGGATTCCTTTTTATTTTTGAGACAGGGTCTCACTGAGTTGCTGAGGGTCTTGCTAAGTTGCTTAAACTGGCTTCGAATTTGTTGATCCTTCTGCCTTAGTCTCCTGAATTTCTGGTATTAATGGAGTGTGCCACCATGCCCAACTTTCTTTAAATCCTTACCAACACTTCTCATTTATCTTTTTTAATCTGTAGCCATCCAACTGGGTGTGAAGTGGTATCTTAATGGTAGTTTTGTCCATTTCCGTGATGACTAATAATGTTGAGCATCTTTTCATGTGCTATTGGCTATATGTATATTTTCTTTGGAAAAATGCCTATCTCTTCTTCAGCTTTAAAATAGGTTGTCTTTTTATTATTTGAATTGTATGGTTCTGTATGTATTCTAGATACAAGATATAATTCTCTTGTCAAATGTGCATTCCATGTATTGATGATTTTTTAACTTTTTTGGAGGGGGAGCATTGAGGATTAACCCCAGGGTCTCACTTGTCTAGGTTAGCACTCTACCATGAAGCTACATCCCTAGCTTTTTAAAAAAAAAAAAAATTTTTTTTTTTTTTTGAGATGGTGTCTCACTGAGTTGATCAGTCTGGCCTTGAGCTTGGATCCTCCTGCCTTGAAGCACAAAAGTTGTTTTTTTTTTTTTTTTAGCCAGCACATTTATTGGGTGGGCTAATCATTGAAACTCTCAAGATGAACTGGATGCTGCAACAGATGCATCTTTGGTTTGGGAGTCATTCCGTCACAGCATCCATGCCCAAATCTGCAGTATACAACTTTCAGGTGCCTCATTTGACCAGACCCAGTGTTATTCAGTCTTTTGGCCTTGGCACTCCAGTTATCCAGTGCTTGTCAGGATAGCCACATTTGCCACAGGTTGACTTCTAAAGATGGTAGGGCTTAGAGCCATAAAGGCAGCACAATGTGTACATCTTATTACAGTGCTTTCCAGATGATGATGTTCCTTTTTGTTATCTTGTTTCTGCTGCTGAGACCAAAGAGTGAAGCACAAACGTTTTTAATTTTTTTCTCCCTGTGGTACAGGGGGTCGCACCCAAGCCACTCTACCACTGAGCCACATCCCCAGCTTTTTTTAATTTTTTTACTCTGAGACAGGGTCTTGCTAAGTTGTTGAAGTTGACCTTGAATTTTTGATCCTCCTGCCTCAGCCTCCTGAGTTTCTGGGATTACAAGCATGTGCCACTGCGCCTGGCTAAAAATTTTTGATTCTTAATATAGTCAGGTTTGTCTCTTTCCTTTTGCTTGTGACTTTGGTGTCATATCTAAGAAGCCTTTGTCTGGCCCAAGATCACAAAGACTTACTCATACATTTCCTTCCAAAAGTTTTATAGATTTAATCTCTTGGATTAGGTCTTTGATTCATTCTAAGTTAATTTTTGTGTATGGTTTGAAGGGGTCATCTTCATTTTCTGCATGTATACATCCTTCAATTGTCTTAGCACCATTTTTAATATGAATCAACTCTCTAATTCCTCATTTTTTGGGGGTTATACTTTCCCTGCACATTATTTTCTAATTCAAATGCTATATTCCATGTACCTGCAGTAATGTCTCCTTTTTTATCATTAGACAGATTACATCAATGCCAGTTTCATGGATGGTTACAAGCAGAAGAATGCTTACATTGGTACACAAGGTAAGCTGGTCCAGCCCCATGCTTGTGCCATCTATCTGTGATTCCTTGTGTCAGATGATGCCATAATTTTTAAATATAACTTAAGTTGATATAAAGGTTGGTGGTGGTTGAGGAAGGCAGATGAGAGATACAGGATGTTTGCACTAGGTATGCCTGGAAACTCAATGCACAGAGGTTAACTACAGATTTAAACCCACAATACTACTCCCCCCCTGCAAGTTTTTAGATTGTGCCTTAACAGCCAATCCAAGGGAGTAAGGCATGTTCTTCATGTTCAGAAAGAGCCCAGGAAAGTCAGTGGTGCTTGCAGAGTTCAATTTAGGAATGAGTGTTTGTGTCCTACAAGAACTTTGCTGGTTGGTCCCTGAACCATCATACAACATTCAAGCAAATGTTCTGATGGGATAGTCTATGTTAAGTCTGACAGTCAAGTAACAGGAGGCTAAGAGGATTTCAGATGGAGTTTTGATATATGCTTCTACGGGTCCGGTACTCCTGTCTTGGCCTTTGCCTATCTTAACAATACCATATCACATTCAAAGAAGGCTGGAGGAAGCCAGGTGCAGTGGTGCACACCCATAATACCAACCTCTCAAGGAGGCTGAGGCAGGAAAATCAAAGTTCAATGCTAGCCTGGGTAACTTAGGAAGACTTTGCCTCAAAATAAAAAGGAATGGTGGTATAGCTCAGTGGTAGAGTGCTTGTGCAAAAGTTCAATCCCCAGTACCACAAAAGAAAAAAGGCAAAAAGAAGATAGGAGGAGTCTAGGGATGTAATTTAGTGATAGTAGAATGTGCGTGTGAGGTATGGAGTTCAATCCCTAGCACTAAAAAAAAAAAGAAAAGAAAGAAAGAAAATCTAGCAGATAACTCAACCAAGTGATCAAACTGAGTATCTCCAATAAAATTAATATTTAACACAGGGATTGTATATGCCTCCTGACGTGATGCAATGAGAAATGCATATCACCTATGTTGTCAGTCTGGGATTACAGGTGTGGCTCAGTGGCAGAGCATGCATTAGGCTCTGGGTTCCATCATTCTCCAGCATGGGAGATGGAGATAGGGGACCTGAATCTAATCATGAGAAAACAGACAGATCCAGATTATGGAACATAATATATGAAAACTGACTCAGACCTTTGAAGTTAATACCATTTAAAAAAAAAAGGACAGTGGAACCAACCTAGATGCCCTTCAATAGACGAATGGATAAAAAAAAATGTGGCATTTATACACAATGGAGTATTACTCTGCATTAAAAAATGACAAAATCATAGAATTTGCAGGGAAATGGATGGCATTAGAGCAGATTATGCTAAGTGAAGCTAGCCAATCCCTAAAAAACAAATGCCAAATGTCTTCTTTGATATAAGGAGAGTAACTAAGATCAGAGTAGGGTCGAAGAGCAGGAGAAGAAGATTAACATTTAACAGGGATGAGAGGTGGGAGGGAAAGGGGGAGAGAAGGGAAATTGCATGGAAATTGCATGGTTATACAGTGGAGGGGGTAGAGAGAGAGAAGGGGAGGGGAGGGGAGAGGTGGGGAGGGGGGAGGGGGGAGGATGGGAAAGGCAGCGGAGCACAACAGACACTAGTATGGCAATATGTAAATCAATGGATGTGTAACTGATGTGATTCTGCAATCTGTATGGGGTGAAGGTGGGAGTTCATAACCCACTTGAATCAAAGTGTGGAATATGATATGTCAAGAATTTTGTAATGTTTTGAACAACCAACAATAAAAAATTTAAAAAAAAATTAAAAAAAGGACAGAGAACTCCTTTAGATTAAAGGAGACTAATAAAGTAATCAAAGTCAATGTATGATTTGGTATTGGATCTTCAATAGGCAGAAAAAAGTATTAAGGACAAACTCCTAAGACAGTCTTTATTTCAGCTAACGTTGTATCAGTGTTTATTTAATTGGGTCAGTGTGATAGTGCTACTTTTCTACAAGGGGGATGCCTTTGTTCTAATATGTACTCAAGTATTTAGGAGTGAAATGTCTAATGTCTGGAAGTTTTAAATTTATTTATTTTTTATTATGAGAAAAAACATTTAAGATGAACTCTAACCTTTTAAAACTGTAAAAGCACAGTGAAATATTAAGTATAGTCTGCAACTTGAGCCAGGCATGGTGGCATATACTTACAATCCCAGTTACTTGGGAGGCTAAGGCAGGAGGATTGCAAGTGAGAAGCCCTGGGCAACTTAGTGAGACTCTGTCTCAAAATCAGAAATAAAAAGAGCTGGGGATGTAGCTCAGTGGTAGAGCATTTGCCTAGGATGTGTGAGATCCTGGGTTCAATCCTCAGTCCTGAAGAAAAAAAAAAAGTATAGTCAGCCACTTAATTTTTTTGAGAATGAATCTATCTATGTTGCCCAAGCTGCCCTCCAAGTCATGGGCTCAAGTGTTCCTCTCTCCTCAGCCTCTTGGGTAGCTTAGTGTATAGCCATGCACCACTACCCCCAGCTTAGTCTGCAACTTATAAATAGTTCAGAGAAAAGAAAAATAGGGGTGTCTGTGTGCACAGAGAAGCAGGTCTTGCAAAATGATAGTTTTCTAGCTAAAGAATATATGGGTGCATTGTACTATTTTCTGTAGGTTTGAAATTTTTCAAAATGAAAATTGGAGGGGAAAAAAAGGGATAAAGGCCTTTGGATTCTTAGAATGTTGTTAATTGATCTGATGGTCACAATTTCAGATTTTTTTTTTTTTTTTAAAGGATGACTGTTCCCAAAAGGAGTTCTTTTGGAACCTTAAAAATTGAGAACTATCAGAAAAGACCTGTGGTCTGCCTGAGAGTAGATAGAGGCTTTACTTAGGATTTCCTTGGTGTGGATGGGCATATTGAGCCTTAGGGTTGGCTTTGGGGGACCTCAGAATGTTCCTTTCTCTAGGTTTAGAAGGAGGGGTGTGCCTAAATTTGCTAATTACCTAAGGGTTGAATCCTTTAAACTGACTCAGAAGGTCCTGTGCAGGAGAAAGTACTCCTCTAGGTGTGTGGGAATTCCTCCCCACCCCCCAGTACTGGAGATTGGACCCAGGGGTGTTCTACCACAGAGCTACATCCTTAACTCTTTTTTGAATTATTTAGAGACAGGATCTCATTGAGTTGCTTAGGGCTTTGCTAAGTTGCTGAGGCTGGCTTTGAACTCAAGATACTTCCTGCCTCATCCTCCTGAGCCACTGGGATTATAGGCATGCACCACTGCACCCAGACTTCAGTCCTTTTTGTCATCAACCTTAATTAGGTTGACTCAATGTTCAGGTCTCTACCAACTTGACATACATATGCTCACCATAATTGGATGAAAGCACATAAACATGGGCTTGGCTCTTGTCCAAGGCTTTTGGCTTACTAATTCCACATACAAGGCCACCATGGATGAGGATCAGTCTTCAGTGCCTCTTATAAAACAGTATTAACACCCATTCCACCTCCAGCAGCAGTACCTTTCTTGGCCATGCCAGTAGGTTACAGGTGAACGCACGTTTGAATATACTGGAGCCTCTTACCCCTGCATAACTTGGGGACAGAAAAAGAGTTGATATTTTTGAGTCAAGCAATGATCACTTTTAGAAGGCTTCAGCATTCTATGAGGACAGAAGATGGGTCCTGGAATGTTGAGAGGGTTAGTTTGATTGTGTGGCTAACCTTTTTGGCTATTATATTTAGTAGTGTGATTATTATATAAAAAGAATATAATAGTATTCCTACTAATAATAACATCTGTTGAGAACACCTTTATATCATGTTCATGCTCTCTATCTAATCATTAAAGAAACTCTGCAAGGAAGACTTATTTTTTAAAAAATTTTATACACAAGCATACTGAAGCCCAAAAAGTTAGGTGACCTTGGATCATATAGTTAGTAAGTGGCAGAACCAGGACTTGAATCCCTGTCTGCTTGTTTGGTTCAGGCCTCCTTGCAAACAAACTCAATGAATTGTTTCACCTATCTTGGTATAAACCACTAACTTTATTTATTCAGAGAAGTCCACTATTAAAGGGCCTAACCTAAAGACCAAGGGAGGGATATACCCTAGAGGTAGAGCATGTGCTTAGTATGTATAGGCCCTGAGTTGAGTCCCCAGCTCCAACAAAAGTGGGAGAGGGTCTAACCTGGGAAGTATAACTTTGTCCTCTTTTTTTTTTTTTTTTTTTTGGTAGGGGTGGGGTACCAGCAGTTGAACTCAGGGGAACTTAACTACTGAGCCACATCCCCAGCCCTATTTTGTATTTTATTTAGAGATAGGGTCTCATTGAGTTGCTTAGCACCTCACTTTTGCTGAGGCTAGCTTTGAACTTGAAATCCTCCTGCCTCAGCCTCCTGAGCTGCTGGGATTACAGGTCTGTGCCACAATGCCTGGCATAACTTTGTCCTCTTAAATCTCTCTCATACCTTCGAGGAAGTTATGACCCTTTATACCCACTGAGTGTGGTGTCTGGTTTTCCAGGTGCTCTGGCTGCTCTAACCTCAGTTCTGCCAATGATTTGACTGGAAAATAAAGTGTAGGAGAGGGGGATGCAGCTTAGTGATAGAGCACTTGCCTAATATATGTGAGGTCCTGGGTTTCATCCCTAGTACTGCAGCTATACCAACAACAGCAAAGCTATGTGACATAGGAAGGGATGTGGATGAGGTTGGAAGTCAGAAATGTGAAAAAGGTGCTCTCATTTTCTTCTTTTTATTCAGGGCCTTACGCTTGCTAGTCAAGTGCTTTATCACTGAGCTAACCCCCAACACTTTTTATTTTATTTTGAGACAGTGTCTCACTAAGTTGCCCAGCTGGCTTTGAACTTGTGATCCTCCTGCCTCAGTTTCCTGAGTAGCTGGGATTACAGGCATGGCTAAAGCATCTGGTTTCTTATTATCTTCTTGATATGCATACAAGGCTAATGAATATCCACTGTAGAACACTTAAGAATCTACAATAAAAATCACTTACAACCCCAAGATTCAGAGATACTGTTAGCATTTTGCAACACCTCCTCCTATCTATATCTTTTCCAATGCATACATATAGATAATATTTGATAGAATTGGCTTTTTCTACACATCAGCTCAGTTTTTCATGTAATTTTTTTTTCCAATCTAGTGGTATCATAAACACCTGTTTGTGGCAAAAAAATACACTTTTTTTTTTTTTTTTTTGATACTGGGGATTGAACCCAGGGTGTTTAACCACTGAGCCATGTCTTTTTTTCCTTTCTTTCTTTTTTTTTTTTTTTTTTTTTTTAATTTGAGACTGGGTCATGCTAAATTGCTTACAGCCTCACCAAGTTGCTGAGGCTGGTCTTGAACTCGCAATCTTCCTGCCTCAGGCTCCTGATTTGCTGGGATTACAGGTTTTTGCCACTGTACCCATCCTTACGACATCATTATCAATTGTATAAATTTGGAATGTGCTATAATTAAATCCTCTCTTCATGGACATAAAGCTTATGTCCAATAACTCACATGCTTTTGGCAGTGCCTACTTTTGCAAAGATATAATGGAACTCTAATATCATAAGATGTTAGTGCTTACTAAAAGACTTTAGCACAAATTGTAATGGAACCAGTGAACTTTCAGGCTGATCAACGCTCCTTCCTTTCTTTATTTTCCTCCTTCTTCCCCCCCCCCACCCCCCGCTACTTTTTTTATTTAGGTACTGGGGATTGAACTCAGGGGTGTACCCACACTGAGCACATCCCCAGCCCTTTTTATTTTTTCTTGTGAAATAGGGTCTTGATAAGTTGCCCAGGCTGGTCTCAAACTTGCAATCCTCTTGCCTCAGCCTTCCAGAGTTACTGGGATTATAGGTTTGTGCTACTGTGCCTGGCCCAAATCAACCCTTGATATTGAAAGTAGAGAGAAAAACACTGGAAACATGAAAGGAACCGTCCTGAACTGTTTGTTACTTTCTTTTTTTTTTTTATTTAGTTTTTTATTTGTTACTTTTTTACTTGACAATATGGCCCTTGCTCTAAAGACCATGCTTACCGAGGCATGAATTACCACAAAATAAAATGTCTAATATATGATCATATAAATTGAATGTTTATGCTGTTTAGACCCAAATGTGCCATCAAGAATTTAGAAGCTGGACACAGTGGTACACAACCATAATCCCAACAATTGGGAGGCTGAGGCAGAAGGATTTCAAGTTCAATGCCAGCCTCAGAAGTTTAGTGAAACTCTATCTTATAAAAATGAGTACATATGGGCTGAGATTGTGGCTCAGAGGTAGAGTGCTTACCTACCATGGGTGAGGCACTGGGTTCGATCCTCAGCACCACATAAAAATAAAGATATTGTGTCCAACTATAACTAAAAAATAAATACTAAAAAATGAATACATATATACAATAAATAAATAAAAAGAGTAGTTGGGTACAGTGGCACATGGCCTGTAATCTCAGCAACTCTGGAGGCAAAGGCAGGAGGATCACAAGTTTAAGGTGAGACCCTTTCTCAAAATAAAAAATGTAGAGGGCTGGGAATATAGCTCAGTTGCAAAGTGCTCTGGGTTAAATCAATTTAAAAATAAGTAAATAAATAGATCAGAGAAGAATAAGCCCTCAAGGAGTGTGGGAGTCAGAGAAAGCTTTGAGGTAGAGGCCATACTTGAAAATGGATAGTAAGTGAATGGCACTGGAGATGAGGGTGGCAGCTTGAGCAAAGGAATATAGGCAAAAGTGCCATGGTGTGTCTGTATTGTGATAGAGCAATTTTTATGAAATATTAAACTGTTGCTGTTATTCAGAACAGACTGGAATGGAAAGAGACCTATTTAGAAAAGTAAACTTATATGGTTTTCATTAACTCAAACAAAAAAAGATGTGGTCCTTATTGCCATAAAATTGGTCAGGAAGAGTAGGAGGAAGGTGAGGGCAAAACTATAAAAGCCAAAATACTTTAAAGGCAGAAATCTAGGATTTGATAACTGCTTCTGCAAGATGAAGGCAATGGATAAGTCAGATTTGACTTCAGCTTTTTATGACTGAATCCTTTAAGGATGATAGAATTGTTAATAGAAATGAAAGTGTTGGAAGATAATACTAATTTTGAAGGAGACCCTTGAAAACATAAGGGAATCTGAGAGATCAGGGAGCACAGGAGAATGGCTTGCTTTTTTTTTTTTTTTTTTTTTTTTGGTCGTGGTGCTGGAGATTGAACCCAGGGCCTTGTGCATGCAAGGCAAGCACTCTACCAGCTGAGCTATATCCCCAGCGCTGAGAATGGCTTCTTAAGCAGCCAGTTATTATAAGGCTATAAAGCTTAGGTTATAAAGTCACCAAGCTTAGGTGAGATGGAAAGAGCCCGAGACATATACCCAGGTGGGACTGTCATCCTTGTAGTGATGACGGCTGAAGCTCTGATGGCTAAGGCACTGAGAAGGTATCTAACATTGCTTCCACACAGTACCTGTGCACATCTTATCCAAACATTTTGCTAATGTGCACATTCTGCATTTATTTTCTTCCTTCCTTCCTTTTTTTTTTTTGTACCAGGGATTGAATCCAGGGGTGCTTAACCACTGAGATGCATCACCAGCCCTTTTTATTTTTTGAGGCAAGGTCTCAGTAAGTTGCTTAGGGCCTCGCTAAGTTGCTGAGGCTGGCTTTGAACTTGTGATCCTCCTGCCTCAGCCTCCAATGCTCCTGGGATCACTGTGGGTACCACTGTTCCCAGCATATTCTGCATTTGTAACATTTTCCCACACACTGCTGGTGTGGTTTGAAGGACCACAGTGAATAGCAAGTATGGAGCAAGAGCAGGGAGCTAACATATGTGCTTTGGAGTTCTATTTGGAAGAAAAGCAAAAGAACCTGTGAAGGAATATAGTGCTTCCAAGGATCATGTTCCTTATCTTCTTGTATTCTAGGCCCTCTGGAGAATACTTATCGTGATTTCTGGCTCATGGTTTGGGAGCAAAAAGTCTTGGTGATTGTCATGACCACCCGGTGAGTTCATCTTCTTTTTCCTAAAGCTCTCTACCCTCACCCAGACCCCAAGCATGGGTGATTTAAGAAGAAAGTTTAGGGGCTGGGGATGTGGCTCAAGCGGTAGCGTGCTCACCTGGCATGCGTGCGGCGCTGGGTTCGATCCTTAGCACCACATACAAAAAAAAAAAAAAAAAAAAAGATGTTGTTTCCGCCAAAAACTAAAAAATAAATATTAAAATTCTCCCTTTCTCTCTCTCTCTTAAAAAAAAAAAAGAAGGAAGTTTAGGAGCTGGGGTTGTGGCTCAGTGGTACAGCACTTGTCTAGCATGTGTGAGGTATTGGATTCGGTTCTCAGCACCACAACAAATAAATTGACAAAATAAAGGTCCATTGACAATTTAAAAAATATTTAAAAAGAAAAGGAAGTTTAGCTCCTAGAAACTGAAGTGTTAGAATGTGACGGCAAAGAGTTAGCAATACTTGGGGCTGGGGAATGTAGCTCAGTGGTAGAGTGTTTGCCTAGCATATGTAAGGCCCTGGGTTTGATTCCCAGCACAACACATGTGCGTGCACATAAACACACAAAACAGCAAAATACCAAATAAAAGTTAGCTACCTTAGCTTTTTCTTAACTGATGTAGAGTTAACAAACCAGGTTATGGTAGAGATAGATAGATATTTTTTATGTGGTGCTGAAGATTGAACCCAGGGTCTCACATGTGCTAGGCGAGCCACCCAGAGATCTTACTTTTTAATGCTTATAATTCATAGCTCTTGTGACCCTGGGCCTGTGATAGCCTCTGAGGTCCTGGCCTTGTCCACTAAAGGAAATACTAGGAAACTCAGGACAATTCATCTTGAATCTGACCTGTTTCCAGATAGGCTCTGTCTTCCTGGGTACTAAATCGGTTCCCTTTTGCTGTCCATTTCCTGTGTGTGTGTGTGTGTGTATGCATATTATAAGGGATTGAACCCAGCATTGCTTTATCACTGAGCTACATCCTCCGCTCTTTGACAGAGTGTTGCTAAGTTGTTGAGGCTAGTCTCAAATTTGCAATCCTCCTGCCTCTCAGCCTCTTGAATCACCAGGATTACTTGTGTGTGTACTTCAGCTACTTTTGACCATTTTCTTGCTCATCCATATTTCCACCTATGGGGGAAGAGAAAAAAAGGAGGTAAAACAGTGGGTCAAGCAGGAAGCTCGAAATAAAGGAAGGTTTTGGAAATTTTTGTGTGCAAATCTGCCAAATTTAAAGAATTAACTTAATTAATATTATCATTGCCATTATGATAATTATAACCTATTTCAGATGAGGAGGAAGGAAATGTTTGCTCAGTTGCCTTCTTGAAGGCACTGTTTGGAGAGGTAATAGTGGGAGAAGTCTCACCTTGGAGTAATTTAGGACCACTGAATAATGATAATGTGGATTTAATGCCTTTTCATAAACCTGCCTCTAGCATCCAAGACCTATGTCTTTCTCACTCCTTTGTTAGGCAAGGGTCTTAATTGGAGAAGAATAAATAAACAGTGGCTAAGGTAATAGGCCAGAGAGTTCTGTCTGACCCACCATATTTCTCTGCTGTCTATTTGTGTACTAGAGTTTATCCCAGATATGTGATATGTACCATAAAGTATTAGAAAAGACACCAAATGAAACATTAAGTGCACAAAAAGTGTCTGCTAAATGAGCACATGTAGAAACTTTACCTGCTTTTACGTCTGCTTAAAATTAAGAGGTTTTTATTTTCTGCCAAGAATCAATGTGTAAGTTAGAGGCAAAGCAGGACATGACATTTCTGTCTATGGGTACAATAGGTCATTGGGGGAGTGGGCTTGTTGCTTTGAAGAGGAAGGATGGAGGTTTACCTTGCTCTGTGTGTGTTCAGCTTTGAGGAGGGCGGCAGAAGAAAGTGTGGCCAGTACTGGCCTTTAGAAAAAGACTCTCGGATTCGATTTGGCTTCCTCACGGTGACCAATCTAGGTGTGGAGAACATGAACCATTATAAGAAAACAACACTAGAAATTCACAACACAGAGGTAAATCTGGGTTTCTCTTTATTCCTTTAAAGCTGGGGATAGAACTCTTTCTGTAAAGAAAATTTCTAGAGGTAATAGATAAAGTTCCAGGCAGGTTATATGCTGCTGTTTATCTGGTACAAAATGAGAATATTCAACTCAGAGCCAATATAGTAATATTATTTCAACATAACAGTGGTGTTACAAAAGAGTAAAACTTTCAGGATAAGAAATGTGGATCCTGCAATGCAGCAATTCTACCCTTTCCAAACATTTAATCCTTCCTTTAGATTTGCAGTAGAGAAGCAATTGTGGTAGAAGGGAGCCCTTGGCAGAGTGTTGAGAATCTAACAAAACCCAAGGTAGTCAGGGGCAGATAGAAATTACCTCCTTAACTTTTGCATCATTTTTTCATCTAAGGAGCGGCAGAAACGCCAGGTGACCCACTTCCAGTTTCTGAGCTGGCCAGATTATGGTGTCCCTTCTTCAGCAGCTTCCCTCATTGACTTCTTGAGAGTGGTCAGAAGCCAGCAGAGCCTTGCTGTCAGCAGTATGGGAGCACGCTCCAAAGGACAGTGTCCTGAGCCACCCATTGTGGTACATTGCAGTGCAGGCATTGGCAGGACAGGTAATATACTTAATGCACCTCTTGGTATATCCCGAGGTGTTAGGGGTTGGGAGGAAGAACAAAGCTGTTCAACCACATTTGTGATTGCAATAAAGAACTCATTTGATCCCTTGGTGGTAAATTGCTATGAAAATTGCTCTTTAATATCCTTTTGGTTATCCCTAATGCTAGGTGCTGGCCACAATGTACACTTCATAAACCAAGCCCACTAGGGATTGAAGTTTTATACTTTCCATTGCCATGGTTATCTTCTGACCCTGACGCCTTATCTTCATCACTCTGGGTGTCCAGAGAGCTTAGCTGAGTTGCTGCTTCCTTCCCTTTTTCCAGCTGGGTTCCCACCCTGTGTTGGATTCTGTAGTCTGGAAGTCAGGTAGTAGCTTTTGCCTTAAGGGAATGTACACAGCAAGAACTCCTGGCCTTTCTAGTTCACAGGTCCCTTTGGGAGAAAGTTATGAAGGATAGATTTGTGTTAGGCCTCTGTGGAGAAGATACAGAGTGTCTGAAAATTGGGTGTGGGAGTACTGTCACTCTGTCCTAGATTGAAGATACATTCCTCTTTGTTACCTACCTTACTTATCCTGTTGACCCCATGTATGTCCTGAGAGACAGGAGGCTTTTGCTTTTCTCTGGCCTTCAGTACTCTGTGACCTCCTTCCTGATTCCTCCGGCCTGAGGATATCTGGCCTCCTGCCAAGAGGCATCTTGCCTTTGATTTCACTCATCCAGTCCTGCCTGGGTTATTTAGTGAAGGGAGGGAGATAAGGGAGGTAAGCCAGACATGACCTTTTGACCTTTTCTTTCTTTCTTCAGGTACCTTCTGCTCGCTGGACATCTGCCTGGCACAGCTGGAGGAGCTTGGCACCCTTAATGTATTCCAGACAGTATCACGCATGAGGACCCAGAGGGCCTTCAGCATCCAGACCCCTGAGCAGTACTATTTTTGCTACAAAGCCATCCTGGAGTTTGCAGAGAAGGAGGGAATGGTGCCCTCTGGCCACAGTCTACTGGCCATGGAGGGGCAGTAACTGTCCTACAAGTCTTCTTCCTGCTGGCCAGCCTTCCTTAAACTACCCTGGACACCGCTGAGCCTATAGGTTGCCATCAGTTATGCTGAAGCCATGGATCAACTTCTTTCTCGTGTCTCCTGGCGCACGTGTTGCACGCAAGGCAGCCTTTCCCTTTGGCTAGATAGATGTGGTGAAATTGCCACTAGAAAGGGCCAACAATGTGTTCTTAATTCCTAGCACCTGCTATCAAACTGTGCCTTATTAAAACCAAATTGTGGCTATTGATTTTTGCCAGGGGCCCTGAGGTAAGTGGGGAAGGAAACTCCCTCCCCCTTTCCCAATGCCATTCTTTTTCTGGAGGTCTCCTCTCTTCCACTCCTTCCCTTTGCTAGGATTTGATGGGGAGGTTTGTGCTCAGAGAGCTTGACCAAGTTACATAATCTAGAGATTGTCCCGAGTGCCAAGCACGTTTATACATAGGGCGTATATTCCAGTCCTTTCTGTCATTCTGTGTGTGTGCGCCTGTGCATATGTGCACTTATGTGTATGGGTCCATATGTATGTGTGTATATAATATATATTGTATGTGATAATATGGTCATATCCTATAAATACATATATACACAGATACTCTTTGTAGACATTTCTGGGGCTCTGTGTTATGGTTCAGAACTCCTTGCTTCTTAGACCTTGCTGTTTATCCCGGACTATCACGGGTTGGGGATCATGGCTCCTGTTGTCAGACATCAGAGTGATGGAAGAGGACACACATCTCCTCCCTTCTCCTTCCACAGGCCCTAATCCTTAAATAATGACTTCTTTCCTTTTGGGTTCTGCCTGTTGGAGCCAAGAATACTGGTTTATGGTGACACTGATTTAATTCAGCATGAATTGTCCTTATCTAACAGTTTTGCTGTTTACTTTGACGATTTTGAGAACAGACCTCCACTGTGATTCCAGACCCTGTCTTTTCTTTCACTCCCCCAAGTGGAGGACCGCAGGTAGAAATGAATTCACTTAGCATTCAGAGCCAAAAGCAATCGGTACGAAGCCTACGAGGAAAAAAAGGGAGCCCAGTGTGTGAGAGAGGAATCTGTGAGAATTCCTTCTTGGGAAAACAAGTTTGGGTCCCTTTTTCTTTTGTTTGAAGGTTCCTTTTCTTATACAACGTGGCCCTATCTACTGAGATGCTCATCTCTCCATGCCTGCTAGCTTGCCAGACCCTAGAGCTCAAACTGGGTGGATCCTGTGCCAATAAAAAGCTTAACCCCTGGCTGGGTGAGATGGTCCCTTGCAATCAGTCAAATCCTTCCTACCCAACCTGTTCCTGCCTGCTCCTAGCCTACGCAACCTGATGTGCCAGGGATGGAATCAAGAGCCCCCAACATTCTACATTCCCAAGAACACCCTGGAACCTCCAATCCTTCGTCCCCCATTACAGAAGATGAGGTTGGCAGCTGATCAAACCTCAATATTTTATACTGTAATAAGCTCTTTGAATGTGTATATTCTTATTTTTTACAATCATTTCATTTTGTATTTAACATCAATGAACTGAGTCAGATTCAGAAAATAATTGTAATGTTCATATTCAATATCTTCAGTGATACAGTTTTGTATTTACATATAAATATACCAACATGATCAAACCCTTTTAGCTTCATCAATTTAGTGGGCTGGGAAGGTGAGGAGGGGATCCAGGAACTGGTCTGGGATGGATGGGGAGGTAGCCAGATACCCAAGACTTCAGTATCTGAGACTCAATTCTGACAACCACCCACCTGTCTTTAGGCTAACACTTTAGCTTTAGGCAGAGGGACCAGCACCAATTGAGTGCTTGCTGTGTGCTAAGCTCAGTGTTAAATGCTTTGTCCCCCATGACCTGACTGAAACTTTACAGCATTCCAGTGAGATATTATCCTCCCTCCCTTCTCCTATCCACCCCTCTCCTATTTCTGTATAAATGAAGAAGGTGAGGTCCAGAGGGAAACAGTGATTTACAGTGATTTGCTCTAGAACTAGAGCTCAAGTTGTTCTGCTTTACAAAGACTTTGGTCTTTCCACTGTGTCAGAGAAGCTCTCCTTTCAGAATATAAGCAATTTTAAAAATCTAGGTAGATAATCTTGTACCCATCCTCCTTATAGTGGGTTAGAAGGATGACAGGGTTGTTGTCTCCCAGACAAGAACTCTTGGCATGTTCTTTATTTGCAGAATACCAAAAGGGTTATTCTCCCAGGAAAACTGGTCTTTGTGGGAAAATCTGGAGTCATTTGCATTGCTCCTATCTCAGAATGGAACCAAAAGTTTTGTCCCTGTAGGAACTCTTCCATATCTTGTAGCTACTTCCTGTTGGACAGTGACAACATACCAAGTCGGGCAGTTCTAGCCTAGAGAGTGCAAATACTGGAGTAATAATGATAATAATCATAATAACCACTAACATTTACAGGTTGCTTACTCCATTCCAGGCACTGTTCAGAGTACTTTCTAGATATTCTGCTCTCCACAACCATTTGAAGTACGTATTGACAAAAGAATTGAAACAGGAAAATTAATTGGTTACAGTTAAGAACCTGCACTCCCAAGTACCTATTCCTCTAGATGCCCTCAAAGAATCCTTCTCCTGATCTGCCAACAAATTTTTCTTGATTTTCTTACTTTAATCAAGAGTTAAAAGAATAGAGCAGATTAAACCAGTTCTTGCCCTGGATGAGCCTCTAGTTTTTTGGTTTTTTTTTTAATATATATACTTTTTTTTTTTTTGGTGAGCGTTCATTTTTGGGGGGCAAGCTAGTGTAAGAAGTGAACATAGGTTCTTTGAAATCTGTTAGAAAGTCAGGGGAATACGCAGAATTGGTGGAATATATATGATACAGCATTAATGATAAAAAGTTTGGAGCGGGTAATCTCAAACTATCATTTGTTTGAAGAGGCTATAATCCAGCTGCTCTATAAATTCAGTTCCTCGTTGCTGATTCCTGGGCTTACCCGGTAGATGGTTTGAGTGACAGAATGATCCAGGTTTGGAAACAGCTGACTTAGTTCACATTTCCTGGCTCTGGAGTATTAGCCAATTGATGTCTACGAGAATGTTCAGTAAAATCCTGAAAAAAAGTTCAGTAGCGTCCCTGTCACTCCCATTTTTTATTTGTAGTGAGATTTTTGTTTGTTTTATTTTGTTTGCGATCCTGGGCTTTACATATGCTAGGCAAGTGCCCTACCACAGAGCTACACCCCCAGCCACCTCACCTTTGAAAATTTTATTTGGACAAAGGGTGTCCTTGACTTGCCCAGGCTGGTCTCCAACTTCAGATCTTCCTGCCTCAGCTTCTTGAGTACAGGTATTACAGGCATGCACCAATTATATCCAACTGTCTTTTTTTTTTTTAAGTCAATGTCTTGCTATGTTGCCAGATAACTGGGACTATAGATGCACACCAACACCCCTTGCTGTAGCTTTTGCCAGCTTGAATCTATTTATGCTAGGAGGCACTAAAGAAGGAGAAGCCACAGGAACCCTAGAATCTGTTCAGGAAGTCAAGGTTCTCACACAGGTGACTTAGTGAACAAAGCATGAGGAAAATGTTCAGAGGAGACAAGTAAACTTCTGATTTGATTGTTTTCCTGACTTATTCTGACTAAATTCTGACTTATTTTAACGTTCTCATGGTTTTTAATTCTTTAAGCACAAGAGAGATTCCCACTATCCTCTCTTTTTGTATTGCTGTCTTCATCCTGCCCTTCCCTCTTAAAAAGGATGGAACTACTAAGATGAAGGATGTCCCAATATTTTAAGCCTAGGAGGCTCACCACTGTCAGTCTTTATGTGACAATATGCAGGCAAATGACATGAATATTTTATTTAGCAACGTGGTCTTATGGACACGTGGTTTCTGTCCTCAAGGATGCTTCCCATCTTTAGAGACAACCAGAAACACATAGAGAAACGCTTGTTACAAGTTGAAGAACTGAAAAGTGATGAGCTAAGACACACAAGCTAGGGAGAAAAGTCTTCCTAGAGTGACAACTTTTCTGTGGCTTTGAGTCTTAACCACTCAACCCAGCCAAGTCCTAGTGTCCTAGCTTCTCTTCTATCAAAGAAGGGGGCTGCACTGGATGGTCCTATTAGGGGACTAGTTCTTTGTGAGATATAGCAAATACCCATGGAAGAACTATCAGGCCCTCCCTTTCGATGAATCAGCTCCCACTTGCACTCTCCTGTTTTAGCTTGCTTTCCAAATCCCCATTTTGAAGTTGTTGTCACTTCTTTATATTCCCTCAGTTCTCTTCCCTTTTGCCCCCAACTTAAATAGAAAATAGGCTAGGTCTCTTCTATAATCTCTAAAACTAGCCCCTAAGCATTTATGGTTTTTCTGTTGCTTCTTATGGGACAGAAGGTATTTGAAAGCCAAGGAATGAACTGATCAAGGGTCCCAGAGCGTCTCACCTAGGTCTTAGATTTGTCTCAGGCTTTGGTCACTTCTCATGGGCTATTGTTAGCTTACCAAGGGCAGGAATTAATGCTCCCACCAACTTGGGTGCTATCTGCCCCATCGTTAATAATCACACAACACTTGTGAATATGCAGTATTTGGGACTATACTGCTGCTCTTAATTGACTACAGAGAAGACAGGTCTTTTCCACGAATAGAAACGTAGCACTCAAACCTGTTTACTCTCCACCACTCTTTCTCCATAGCTGTCATATTCTTCCTTCTGTTTCAGATAAATCTGACATGCAGCAGTGTGAAAACCCCACATTTTTCAGGCCCCGTGGGGGGCATAGCTAAGTACACTAGAATCCTAACTAGGGGGTGTTGCATAAGGGCTAGGAACTGTGGTGCCTTTTCACCATTTTGTGTAATATGTTCCTCTTAGCTGTTAGAACTATGATAATTAAATTAGGAAAGCAAGACAGGGAGATGTAGAGAGAAGGTAGTCACCACAGGTCTAGCACAGCTCATTTCCTTCTACTATTCCCCTGCATCAGAATCTAGCAACTTGTCCTAAGTAATCTCAAGACTGGCCAGATGCACAGCAGAGCTAAGGGGTGGAGTCATCTTGTGCGATCATTGTTTTATTTTGTCTTTTTTTTTTTTGAAATGGGATCTCATTATGTTGCCTGGACTCAAATTAAAAAATAAAAAGGGCTGGGTATGTGACTTAGTGGTTAAGCACCCTGGGTTCAATCCCTGGTAAGAAAGAAAGAAAGAGAGAGAGAGAGAGAGAAAGAAAAGAGAGAGAGAAAGAAAGAAAGAAAAAGAGAGAGAAAGAAAGAAAAAGAGAGAGAGAAAGAAAGAAAGAAAGAAAAAACCCAACCAGTGGAAATGGAGGTATGCACTCAATGTGTCTATAATTTTATTATTTTTAATTGATAGATTATTAGAGCAATTTTGGGCTCATAGAAAATAACAGGGTTCCCATGTACTCACTCTCCCCACAACCAGTTGCCCCTTTAAGTAATATCTTGTATCACTATGATTTTGCAAAATGCATAGTCAGATATCTGACTCCTGGACTCAAGTGATCCTCCTGCCTCAGAATCTGGAGAAGCTGGGACTATGTATGTGTACCATCATACTTGGCTTTCTTCCTTGACTTTTTAATTTTTTTTTTTTTTTTTTTTGCTTCCTAGTACTGGGAGTAAAATCCAGGGGTGCTTTACCCTTATGCTCTTTTTGAGACAGGGTCTTGCTAAATCGCAGAGGTTGGCATTGAATTTGTGACCCTCCTGCCTCATGTGGCATCTCTGGTATTACGGGCATGCACCATCATTCTTGTCCTTCCTTGACTTTTTTTTTTTAAGTATTTTATTAGTTATTGATGGACCTTTATTTATTTTTATGTGGTGCTGAGAATTAAACCCAGTGCCTCACACATGCTAGGCAAGCACTCTACCACTGAGCCACCATCCCAGCCCCTTCCTTGACTTAAAACTCTTTTACAGCCAGGTGTGGTGGTGCACACTATATTCTCAATGATTTTGGAGGCTTATGCAGAAAGATCAGAAGTTCAAGGCCAGCCTGAGCAACTTTGAACAATCTCAAAAAAACAACAACAAAAAAATGTATGTAGCTCAGTGCCCCTGGGTTCAATCCCCTGTACCCAAAATTATAAAAGTAAAGACCAAACACCATTTTTGTGGCAAGCAACCAGTGAAAGTATAGAGTCTGATGTTTGGGGTACATACCTAGCTACCTATGTCAAATTGGGACTTAGTTTTATTTTTAATTTTTGGTACTGGGGATCAAACCCAGGGGTGTTCTGTCTCTGAGCTATGTCCCAGTCTTGTTTTTTTGAAACAGGATCTCATAAGTTGTTAAGGGTCTAATGACGTTGCCAAGGCCTGGCCTGATTTTCAATCCTGCCTCAGTCTCTGGAGTCGCTGGGATTACAGGAATGTCTCATTGTGCCCAGCAGGACTTTTTTTTTTGGATAGACGAATCTGGGGAATAGGTGAGGTCAGTGAAGCATGAGACAGGTAAGAAGGATAGATCTTTCCGACCACCAACATTTAGGGGATTCCAGGTCAAGGAAGAAAAGCTCCTGAAGGACACTAACAGGCAGAGGTAACTGAGGACAAGGTCTGGCTGCATTATCATAAGCTGCTGAGAGATAGGAAGTGGCTAGAATGAACAGCATTCAGAAATGTGGATTGACTAGAGGTCTCTACTTGGCAGGGCTATCAGAGAGGAGGCATGAATTTGAGGTGAAGGTGTAGAAATCTCAGTGCTTATGCTGCCCACTCAACTCACTAAAACAAGGCCTACCTTTATTTCCTGAATAAGATTTTGTTTTTTTTTATGCTGGGGATGGAACCCAGGGCCTTGTGCATGTAAGGCAAGCACTCTACCAACTGAGCTATATCCCCAGCCCAATTTCCTAAATAAGATTTTGAACAAAGAACCTGCAGCCTTAAAAAAGGAAGAAAAAAGTCACCATCTGGAAGCAGTGGCACACTCCTGTAATCCCAGCAGCTCAGGAGGCTGAGGCAGGAGGATCACACAAAGCCTGATAAATTGGGGAACATACTATTATATGTAGTTTCCTGATTTAGACACAGAGGTAAACTAAATTCTCAGTGAGGGGAAGACATTTCAAGGGAGTAAGGAGTAGCAGTCTTTAAATCTATTAAAATATTCCTAGTTCCCAAGGCTCCCCAGAAATCAGAAATAGAATATATACAACCTAAGCCAGCAGACTGCAAGAGAGATAGAGTTTATTCACATAGTAGAATTTTTTGGTCTTTTAGGCCTGCTCCAGGGCTTTTATTTATTTATTTCGGTATGGAGGGGATTGAGCCCATGGGCATTTAACCACTGATTTATATTACCAGTCCTTTTTGAGACAGGGTCTCACTAAGTTGGTTAGGGTCTAAGTTGCTGAGGCTGGCATTGAACTTGCTGTCTTCCTGCCTCAGCCTCTGAGTCACTCGGATTAGAGGCATGTGCCACCGCACCTGGCCTAAATATCTTAATTACTACCTACCATGAGTACCCCAAAAAACTGTGAATGAGTCCTTTTTAAGAGTGAGGGAGTGCATGTGAGAGACTAAGGGGTGTGATAGTTTGGATTTTATGTGTAATGAGTTGAGGTCATGTATGTGGTTAGGAGACAAATCTTGCTGCTTTGAGGATAATTTTTTAGAAGGGGTCAGAGATTATCTAAAACAAGTTGGGGACAAATTGCTCTTGGAGTTAGAGAGGTTAGGAGTGTGGAGCAGGAGGGGAGGTAAGGTATTTCTCAAGGCCACAACATGGATCACCAGCCTGAGTATGTATGGAAACAGCTATGGGGAAGTGGATGCAACTCACAATTTGGATCCAGATAGATTTTACCTTGGTTGACTTGACATGGGCAAGTCATTCTACTCAGAGCCTGAGTTTGCTTATCTATAAATAATGATAATAGCCTCTAACTCATAAATCCTATGGGAAATTTCACACACAAGAGGCCTGGGAATCAGAACTCCCATGTGGTTTCTCCATGGAGGGCCCTCAGATCCATTCAGTTTTGTTCTCAGTGGTATAGTGGGGAGGCAGGGAAGATGGGTGCAACCCTCAGTGCAGCCAGGGACAATGTTCACAAACCAGATTCACTTCCCAAAAAGTCTGGAACTTGGTTGTGCTGTGCAGATGTCAGCGTTAGCCAGAAACAATCACTGGACCTCTTCCAAAGGCCTCCTGTGCTTGACTGCTGTGAGCCCTGGGGGCCCAGAAGTGAGACAGAATGGCTGTCCTGGAGCAGCTCAATGGGGCGGGGGGTTGGGGAGGTGTCAGCAAAGTCTGATTTTCTGAGTTGGGGGAACTGGGTTTCAAATTCTCCACATATAACTTCATCTATAGCACACCACTTGTTGCCCAAGGTCATAGCCAAATGCTTAGGTCTTTGGCCTTCACAGAAGCATAGAATATCATCAGATGATAGAGTACATTTTATCACATTTGATCCTCATAATGGCAAGGATTCCTATGTTATCCCCTATATACACAAGAGGAGGCTAATTCACAGATAAGGGACTAAATGACAACCAGGGACCCAACAAGTGTTCTTCGGGTTGGGAGTGTGACCCAGTGCTAGAGCACTAACTTAGTATTCACGAGGCCCTGGGTTCAAATCCCTAGCCCTGCAAAAAAGCAACCAGACAAGTGTTTTTTCTGCCCTCCTGCTCTGCCTCTTATCACATTAACAAAAGCATCTATTGTGCCTTTACCTAAGGCAGAGTCCCTTGAGAAACAGAGCAGGAATCTGCAGTGGGGATCCAGATTTCAGGGAACTCTGTCCTGATAAAGGAAATTGTGACTGACCCTCACCCTAAGGAGGATGGACCTCTACTTCCATGGCTCTGGTGGCCTCCCACTGAATACATAGTCCTTATCTCCTGGCCTTTCTCCTCCATACCCTTTCCCTCAGTGATCCCACCAAGCTACTACTCACATTCCAGTCTCCCAACTCCAGCTGGGATGACCTACTACTCTCCTCAAATTAGCACTTCTCACTTGCTTTCTCTCTTTTGAGGCAAGCTTCCCACATGGACTCTGAAGAAGGGAAGGGTCCATAGAGCCAATGTTTTTACTCCAATTTCCACCCCCATTTCACAGGGAAACTGAGGCCCAAAGGAAGGGATTTACCTCAGACTATAACATCATATAGAAACCTCTTCCACTTCCCACAAAACCCCACAGGCTGCTTCTTTCCCTTACTATCCACATTGAATAAGTCAACCACTTCCCTTAAGTCTTTATCAAACATGGATCTCCTTTTTAGTCTTCTTATCCACTGCCATGTCCTGGTCAAGTAGTCATTAGCTGCCACCTGAATTTTTGGGACACTCTCCTAAATGACAGGCCCCCATTTGCCCACAGGATTCTAAGATCCTTCACATTCTGCATATTGCACCTTATATCCACACTAACTTTCTTCAGTGTCTCAACAAATCTTTCTTGTCCGCACAGTGTGCATCCTGGCTCTAGACTCAGCTCTCTTGAACAGACATGTGGGATGCCCCCAGAACTCACAAACTCCTTTGGTTGGAAGTTATGATAAACAACAAATGATGCATGAAAGGATCTGACTCAAGAGATTTGACTTGAAGCCCGCTGAAGGTGGGGAACACTCTGGATTGGGTGATTGGGAGGAAAAAAGAAAACTTGGTTTCTCCAACCTATTCTTCACACAAGATGTACATCAGTATTCTCCAAACCCACTATTAGATTACAACAGCTTGTGTGCCTGCTTTGGTGCCTGTAGGCACCAAAAGGTCGGTCCAACCTCAGAATCCATCAAGCTGCTAGGTAGAATGTTGAACATCTTATACCACAGTTCTGGGCCTATGGTCCTATGATCATGCTGCTGGCACATTCTGCTGTGGAATTTCAGAATTTTCACCAGGTTTTTTAAGTCTTTCAGTGGTTTCATGTTTCAAAGCCTGATTTTCACTACTACATCCACATTTGAAGTTTTCTATCTATTCCTTTGTATCCTTTACTGAAAATAACTTGCCCCTCCATTTCTGATAAAATATTTCAGACCTCACATTAAACACACTTCCTCCAGTTTTCTTTGGTTGTAAGGAATCTCCCTGCTCTGATATCCTAAGGGTGTCTTATTTACATATACATTCCTACCTTGCTTCAATTCCTTTGGCATCTGTTTTCTTGACTGGATCTAGAACCCTTGGAGGGTAGAGTGTGCGTCTCAGCTAGTGTATAACTGCACGCAGCAGCAGGTACAATGGGAATGTTAGCCTTCCCCACACTAGGTGCTCATACAAGTGCCTGTTGCCCTGGATGCAAAGCTTTCCGATTACATTGCTCATTTTTAGGTGCCTCGCAATGTGGGCCGGACACAGTTAGGTCACACAGCCTGGGGAGTCTGGACATTTCAGCCAGTCGCTAGGGAGCTCTGTTTCTCCCTATCCAGCTCCAAAGGGTCGTGTACGTGAAGGAAATGGGGGTCCGGCACCTTCTCAGTTTCCACCATGCCGATCTCCGATCCCAGAAGGCCTCGATCCAGTCCGAGCGCTTCTGGAAAACTCAAGTCGGCGGTGCGCGAGATACGGGGGCCTCTACCACAGTTGCACCTCCCACTCGCGGCTGGTTTAATTTATTTATTTTTATTTTTTTCTTGGAGGGAGGGGGCGTTCAATGAAGGGGAAGAGGCGGGGCGAGGAGAGGAGGCGGGCCGAGGGTGACTGACGTGAGCGCCAGGGAGCCAATGGCCCGCGGGGGGCGTTCCCCCCCATTCAGTACTCCTCGCCGGGCTCGGAAGGTATGTTAAACAGCTGCTTTTAATTTGGTCCCCCTAATCTCGGGCGTTTGGGGGGCTAGCTCGCCAGCCTTTCGTTTTGGCTGGCTTGATGCGGTGTGGGCGCTGCGAGTCCTGGGACTCGGCGGGGGGAGGCTCGGAGTCCCGCAGCCGAGGTAGGCGAGGGGCAGGCCAGGAAAGAGAGTCTTGGCGCCGCCCGCTCGCCAGTGTGTGTGTTTCCAAGCCCGGCTGGAGCCGAGGGGAGGGGGTATGCCCGGCCTGGGGTCGCCCATGCGCCGGCCGCGCCGCCTAGTTTATTTCACCGAGCAGTCGGTTTCGGTAGGTTTAGGCGGCGCACTGGGGATTGGGGCCGACAGTAGGAGATCCTCCGCTCCGGTTATTTTTTTAAAGAAATGTTTTGTAAAAAAGGGGGGTTCTGTGCACTGACTGGAACAGGGGCCTGGCTGTGGCGCGCGGGCTTGGCAGGGGGCGGCGGCCGGAGCTTGGTCCGCCGGGCCCACCGATCCCTTGGCGCCCGGAGTTGGTCGAGAGCTGGAGTTAAGCTAGCGAGCCGCGGCCCGCCGCTTTCCCGGGTAACCACGCCAGCAAGGGCGGCAGCCGCCGGAAGGTTTTGTTTCTGCCCGCAAACTTGTCGTAGGGGGCGGTGGGCGCGCTCGGAACAGGCGCGGGCGCATTGGGCCCGCGGTTGTTAAGGACTCTGGGGGCGGGGGCAACGCCGGACTTGCGGGAGGGGAGCTTGGGGGCGGGAGAGGTGCCGGAAAGAGCCGCCTGCGCCTCGCCACTAGCCCCGCGTGCCGCTTTGGGCTCCCTGAACTCCTGGGCCAAAGCAGTCGAGCTAACATTCGGCTTCGGAGTCCGTCAGGCCGCGGGCCGGCACAGAGCTCAGGCCGGGGGTGTGGAAAACCTCCAGGAGCTCGGCGGATTCGACTCGCAGCCCCAGCTGATCCCCTTGCAAACATGGAGCTGCCTCCTTCCCCGCCCACCCCAAGGCGGCGGCGGCCGCCGCTGCTGCTCCTTTCCCCTCCCCCGACCGTGCCGGACTGCCGGGCTCCCTCTTCCCGCGAGGTGCCGCGGCGGGCAGCAAGACCCAGGAGTGGGCGGGGGGCTAGTATGCGCGCCCACAAGGTTGGGGGGTGGTCTGAAAGGGGCAGTGAAGGTCGGAAACTGGGAAAACAGTCTCCACGTTCAGAATCGGGAAAAGGAAATGCATCAGCGGGCGGGGAGGGGCGCAGGGGGCGCGCCTGTCAGCCGGGATGGCGGCCGCTGTTGGAGAGGCGGAGCACCGGCGTCTGGCGGCGCAGCGATGGGACTAGGAGCGAAAGACCGCTCCTTGGAGTGCTGCGGGGCTACCCCTGCCTCCACTTCTCGGCCCAGACTGTTTACTATCTACTCCGCCGGTGCCTTGTGCAACCGGCCTGGAGAGGACCCGTGGGGCGGGGCTGTTTCCTCTCTTCCACCCACCTCAGGCTCCAAAAGAACCCCCGCCTCCTCTTGTCTTCCACTGGTTGGGAGAGAGTCCCTTTTTCCCATCTCGGATATGGATTGGATGGCATTCTCCTGAGCTCCGCCTATCCGGAGGCTGGGCTGGAGTTTAAGTTGCTAGGATTCTCCCCCCCCACCCCCGTGAAGGGCGGAGGAGGATTCTCCTGGCTTACGTGCAGCGCAAGGTCCCGCCCCTGCGTCTGGTTGGAGGAATGGATAAGCCCGCCTCTCCCGCAGACGGAGCTTGGAGGGGGAAGTCCAGCCGTGTTCTCCGCCCTTCTCCCTTCGCTCGGGAGCGCGCTCTGCACATGTGTGAGGCCCGCCTAGCTCCTTCGAACTGCCCTCCCGCCCGGAAGTCCTAGACTCGGCGCCCTTGGCGAGGGGGGCGGGGAGATACGAGGAGGCGCACAAAGATTCCTCTGAGGCTGGAGATCTGGTAGACTTCGGGGTGACTGAAGCTCGGGGATTATGGGTGGAGTGGATTTGGGGCGCGTAGCTCTGGGGTTCTTGAGGCGCTGAGATCAGGGCGTGGGCTCTCCCCTCTCGGGCCAAGGAGAAGTACTAAATTTATGTGGTGGCCTGGCTGTTTCCACGCTCCTTAACTTTCCTGAGCTTAAAAGCTAGAAGGCTGCCCATGATAGCTTTGTCTTTTCTACTCTGGGCAAGACAGCCGCGTCAGTAGTTGGCTTTATCTAAAGCTCTGACCACCTTGGTTTGAAACCTTAGGCAAGATCCAGGGCAGCCCGTCCCCTGTGGTCAGGGGATATGAGGGCGGCCTAATTCTGGCGCGGGTTCAGAGTGGTTTTTTGATGTCCAGGTGCGACTGCCATGCGGTACCCAGTCTAGGGAAGGAAGGCGGCCGGAGTTAAAAGGTAGCCGTTGGTGAGTGCTGAATATCGCGTCTTAATAACTTCCGAGAGTTTATGAGGCCCCGAGGGCCACCTGGGGTCGCTTTCTTTAGTCCTTACTTTTTAGTGCCTTGTCCCGAGGTTACTGGCGAAAGGCTGCTCCCACCTGTCGGCCACTCGTGGAGTTCACAGCTCACTGCTGTGGACTCGCGGCTGGAAGCCCTCCTTGGAAATCAGACCCACCTGTTGCCAGCCCTCGTTTTGGACCGTCTCCGCGGAATTGCGGAAGGATGACAGTATTGGATCTAAGAATTGAGTTCACTGGGGCCTTTTGAGGAATTCAAGTCGATGGGGAATGTATCTTTTTTGCTGGAGAGAGCGGGAAGACTAGTCCCGCCCCTTCTCCTGACGCCGCCAGAGCGTCCCCCAAAGCAAGGCCAGTCAGCGTCTGGCCCAAGCCCTGTTTGGTTAATAAATAAAAGCAACTAGGTATCTCAAGCACTTTGTCAATCTATGTGTTGGAGGCATTATTATCTACACAGGGAACCTAGGGACTTCCATTAGCACACCTTGGCAAGGATGAGATAAACAGCTCCCTTTTTATAGATAGGGTTTCGATTTGTTGCCCAAGCTAGACCAAAGCCCTGGGTTCAAGCGATCCTTTTGCTTCAAGCATCCAGGGTAACTGAAACTACGTACGCTGGCCGTGAACAGCTTTTCTTATCTCTTGACCCCAACCCTGAAGTTTTTATCCTTTCTCAGTGTGAATATATTCAAGGTTCATTTATGCCATGGCCTGTTTTGGTCTCTTCCTCCGTATCTGAGTTCCTCCAGTCTGAGGATGCCTCCAGATCTGCCCTAGAGATCGCGGAAAACATTAGGCCCCGCCTCCCGGAGGCTTGTCAGGGCGGTGGCTTTTAGGGGCCGCCCTTTGGTTATCTCCGCCCTCTTAGGACTACATATTCAGGTTCAGGGAATGTTCAGAGAGTTAACGTGCAGCCACCCTATCGTAGGGGTGGCAACCCCCCCCCCCCCAGGTTATTTCTCGGCTTGGGCTCCAAGCCTTAGTTCAATACTCCACTTACTGAAAGGAGCTGCCGGCCGCTCTAGATATTTGTGCTTACAAAGAGACAGCATGTATAATTGTGAAGATAACTGGGTGGGAAGGATGAGGTTCTTTCATTGTTTTGGTAAGGGAGTCCTTCAGAGCAGTAATATTACCGCCTTTCCCCTTTAGATCCCAGGGCCTCGGGTCTCGGGTGCTGAGCCTCGTTGTCACCTCCTGTCCCAGGCCTTCGAACTCTGAGCTTCACTCTCTAGTGTAAACATTCCACAAAAGGACTGCTCAGGTTCAGTCTTCTCGCGCAGGGCGGAATCAGCTTCCTGGACAGGCGAGGTGTCCAATGGAGGTTCCTACCGGCGTCAAGATATCCAATCCGACTCTTGGGGCGGGGCCTGGCCGGCAAGTGTGGTAGGAGGAGCCTGTTTCACTTACAGACATTTTACCCCATATCGGTTACTTACCTTCCTGGGGCGGTGTGAGAGCCAAAGGTAGCCTTCCAATGCAATGACCGGCGGAGGCGGGAGCCGATTTCTTAGGCCTGTGGCTTAGGCAGCACGGGGCGGGCTACTTTGTGTTCTCCAATGAGACTTGAGGAGCTTCCCTTCTTCCTCCAATAGTATTGCGCCTTGGGGGTGGGATTCAGCAATCTGTCTCCAATAGGCGGGGTTGAGTTAGGGACGCTCCCCGCCAATAGGGGCGTGGAGAAGGTGAGCAGCTCGCCCTCCCCTCACAGCCGAGGGGGAAGGGGCGGGACGTCGGTAGGCGTGGCTCAGTGATTGGTTAAGCCTTTGACGGATGGGTAATGTGTCCTTTGGCGGAGCTAAGCTGAGCCTTCCCTTGGCGGGGCGGCCGGGGGAGTGGGCGGGATTTCCCGGGTAACAGAGAAGCGGCCGCGGCGGTAGAGGCGGCGGAGACGGTTTCTCCATCTTCCCCCTCCCCTTCCCCCCTCGGAGTTTCCCTCCCTCCCTCCCTCCCTCCTTCCCAGTCTGGGCACCTGGGTCTGTGACCGCTTCGTGAGAGGAGAGGAGACTGCCAGCCCGCTTCGGCGGGCCTGTGTCCCGCGCCGTTCTCGGGGCCTCCCTGCTGAGTGCGAGGCTCACGCTGAGACGGACACGCAGTGCTGAGCGACCAAAGGAGCTTTGCGGTGAGAGCACGCTGGGCCGAGCTCCGGGCGGCAGCCTGGGTGGCGGGTAACGCGGGACTCGAGGGCGTGTATTTTTAGGGGGGGCCTGACCTCCTCGGCTTCCCGTAGAGCAGACGGGCGGGAGGTGTGTGAATGTGTGAGGGGGGCGGGGGGCGGAGCGGGGCAGCTCTCCGTGCGGGAGGGGGAGGAGAGCGTAGTCCCGGTGCGCGCGGAGGGGGCGGGCTCTCGCGCCGCCGCTCAGAGGCGGGGCTGGCGCGCGCGTGCGATGGTGGAGAAAGGGGCGGGGCTGGCGCGCGCCAAATGCTGTTTGCGACAGGCCACCCCCCTCCAGTCCTCGGGCTGGGCGGAGCCTCGGGCTGGCGGCCGCCCTCTGCTAGGGTAGGGGGACTGGAAAAGGGTCTCTAGCTTGTGGCTTCTGGGCGCGGCAGGGAAGGGGCGTGAAGTCTCCGTTCCTCTGCATTCTCGGGATCCGGTTGGCCAGAGGGCCGTCCAGAACGCCGATGCCACTCCCCTTACGCCCCCGCGGGGTTTCCGCCTCTTTGGAAATGAGGCGGTGCTCTGGAAAGCCCGCTGTTGGGTCTGGCTGGGAGTTGCTGCTCCTAGATCTGCCCCGCCCCCAATGTGTCGGTGGGTGGGAGGGGCCCCTATTGACTGGAAGCTGTGGAAAGGTGTCAGGACTTACTCTTGTGGCTCTGCCATGCCTTCTGCCCAGGGCACGAGGGCCGGAGGCCAGAACTGTTGTCTCTTCTTTGCTCCGTGTAGCGTGGATGACACTATACAGCTAGGAGAGTGGGTGTATGGCCGTTGGAACTTATCTTCTGGTTGTAAATATTGGGATGAGGTGCTCAAGGAACCTTTCATAGTAGTGTCTGCGGCCGGTGCTGTTACCACGCTTCCGCGGTGGTGGTGTGGGGGAGGGGCGGAGAGTCTTCAGGGACTAGAAATGTGGCCAGGGACAACCTTTCCTGGAGTTCCCTTGATGTTCAGTTACTGTGGCGGCGGGGCGGCGCTTCGTTTGCACCAATGGGATGGTGGGTTGGTAGGTAGACTTGGTGACTGTTTTGATGCCTTAGGACTTTAAACCCAGTTAGCCATGCAGAGGGAGGGGAAGCTCTTCACAAGGTTGAGGTTTATTACAGGAAGGGTCGGGTTTACATTTCAGTCTCCTCAACTGATCTGTTTATGAAAGGTTTTTATTTTTAAAAATTATTTATTTTTGGTTTTTGGTGCTGGGGATTAAAACTAGGATACAGCTTAGCACTAGCTTTACCACCAAGGTTCAGTGCAAGTCCCAATTTTTATTTTTTAATTCAAAATTTGGACTAAAATGCTCTTAATTTCTTCAACACTTGCATCGTTTAATGCTGTCACTGTAATGATGGTTCTAATACATAAACATCGCTTCACAAAAAATAAGTTGTAGTTTAGGTAACTACAGGTGAAAGAGACTAAGGTGAAGTCTGGAATAAGGAAACCTTTATATAACTCCTGTAGCATTGCCCTCTAACCCTGTGTTGGAGAGTTGCTCTAGGACATTGCAGATGTAATGTATAGGTAACCACATTAGATGAGGTTTTTGTCTGGTTTTGTTACAAGCTCTTTCCCTATTAAGAGAATTACTTGTTTTTGACATTTTCCATGAGAAAATAAGCATGGAATCATTATTCAATGACTCTGAGTGAGTCTCTAATTAATTAAACTGAAGTTAAATTCTAGATTTGTGCTTTTCCCAGTAGGGATTGAAAATTTGATGTCCTTTGTCAGGGTCTGAACTCGGGTACTATTGTTTGAGCCTCCTAACCCTATACTTCAGTTGCCTCTTCTCTAAGTTTAGGGAACAAAGAAGGAGCAGTGTGCTTTTTAAAAAAGTTTTTAACTGGCAAAATACACATAATGTAAAATTACCATTTAAATAATTTTAAGTATATTTTAGTGGTATTAAATGCATTCACATTGTTTTGCAGCTCTTACCACCATCTCTTTAGAATTGTTTTATTTTCCCAACTGTAACTTTGTACCAGAGAAGCAAATCTCTCCTTCTATATCCCCCAGTGTTGGCTACCACCATTCTACTTTTTTCTAAATTTCACTACTCTAGGTACCTCTTTGACATTTGTAACTGGCTTATTTTGCTTAGCATAACGTCCTGAAGATTCAACCATGATGTAGCATGAGTCAGAATTTTCTCACTTTTAAAGGCTGTATATATATGCCACATTATGTTTATTCATCTGCCATGGACATTGGGATTTTTTCCCCCTTTTTTGCTTTTATTAATAATTCTGCTATGAACATGGGTGTATAAATATCTCTTCAAGTCCTTGCTTTCAGTTCTATTGGATATATATTCAGAAATAGTATTACCATAATCATATGGTAATTCTGTGTTGAATTTTTTTGAGGAACAACTAGTGTACTTTTTTGGGGGGGAGATACCAGGGATCGAAACCAGGAGTGCTTAACCACTGAGCCCATATCCCCACACCTTTTTATTTATTTATTTATATAATTTTTTTTTTAATATTTATTTTTTAGTTGTAGTTGGACACAATACTTTTATTTTATTTACTTATTTTTATGTGGTACTAAGGATCGAACCCAGGGCCTCTCGCGCATGCTAGGCGAGTGCTCTACTGCTGAGCCACAACCCCAGCCCCACCTTTTTATTTTTAAGGCAGGATTCCACTAAGTTGCTTAGGGCCTCACTAAGTTCCTGAGGCTTGCCTCAAATTTGGGATCCTCCTGCCTTAGCTTCCTGTGCCACTGGGATTACAGGTGTACTCTGCTGTGCCCAGCCACTAGTGTACTTTTGCAAGTTGTTTTGAGGAGAAAAAATTGGGACTCGGGTTCTAAGACGTAAATTGTCTCAACACTCATTTCTTTTTTAAAAATATTTATTCTTAAGTTTTTAGGTGAACACAATATCTTTATTTTACATTTATGTGGTGCTGAGGATTGAAGCCAGTGCCTTGTGCATGCTAGGCAAACACTCTACCACTAAGCCACAACCCCAGCCTCAAAACTCATTTCTTTATTACCTGCTTAATACATCTGGATTGACACAAAGTTTGTTGTCTCCAAGAAATTAACATTTTTATAAAGTAAGACAGGCAGATGAACGGTTTCTACTGTACATCAATGAATGGTGGGTGCCATAAGAATCAAGTACAAAGTGTTTAAGGATTTCAGAGGGGAGAGAATCTATCTTAGAGGCGGAGGAAGAGGAGTCACTGCATGAGAAACAGGAGGGAGCAGTGTGACATCATAGATCCTCTTGAAGTAAGTTGTTAAATATCCTTAGGCGGGCTGGGAATGTGGCTCAAGTGGTAGCGTGCTCGCCTGGCATGCGTGCGGCCCGGGTTCGATCCTCAGCACCACATACAAACAAAGATGTTGTGTCCGCCGAAAACTAACTAACTAAATAAATATTTTTTAAAAAATATCCTTAGACATCTCTTTTTTTTTGAGAGAGAGAGAGAGAATTTTAATATTTATTTTTTGGTTTTCGGCGGACACAACATCTTCATTTGTATGTGGTGCTGAGGATCGAACCCGGGCCGCACGCATGCCAGGCGAGCGCGCCACCACTTGAGCCACATCCCCAGCCCCTTAGACATCTCAAAGTGTCACTTGGGAATCACTTTAGGAATGTTAGAAGGGGTAGTATCATGTTGAAATTGAATTCTCTTGTGAAGTTACTCTTCCAGTGTTTGTGAATTGCACCATCTTCACTTTGCAGACCTGATCCTTTCTATTACTTTGGAAGGTATTTAGGAATCACATTAAAGAAATTATGGATTTGGTGTGTATGTGCTTGATTATGGGGCACTTACCCCAGCCTTGGCTGGAAGAGGGATATGGTGCACAATAAGTGCATTATATAGCCAGTGGCCTACTTTATGTTTCCTCTTGAACAAACTAATCAGCATTCTTGACTCTTCTTTCTTATTTTTTCATATGTTGAACATCCCAAAACTCATTTGCTCTATGTTCAAAATATTATGAAGAATTGGACCACTTAGTATCCCCACCTCCCCCACATCCTCAATCAGTGTCAGCAGCATCCCTAGCAAGGATTCTGTTTGCTTTGTTATTGCCCGTCTTTAGTCTGTTCTCAGCATAGTGACCCAAGTGATTCTTTTAAAACCTAAGACCATGTCACTTCTCTGCTTAAAACCATCCATTGAGCAGGGAATGGTGGCATAGGCCTGTAATCCTAGGCTGAGGCAGGAAGATTACAAGTTTGAGGCCAGTCTGGGCAGTTTAGCAAGACCCTGTCTCAAAAACTAAAAAGGGCTGGGGATGTAGCTCAATGGTAGAGTGTTCCTGGTTCAGTCCCCCAAAAGAACCATTCAACGGCTTCCTCTTTCAGTCTTGAGTATTATATCCAAGTCCTTATTATAAACTGTAAGAACAAGTCTGATACCCTCTTTGGCTATGTTTCCTACTAATAGTCTCCTGATTGTTTTCTAGCTGTATAACCTTGCTGTTTTGGGAAAATACCAAGTGTTTGTATGCCTGAGGGTCTTTGCATTTGATATCCCCTTTGCCTAAAAAGCTTCCTCACTGATTTCTACATGGTTGGCTCCCTCAGTTCCTTTACCCATAACTTACCTTTTTTGTGAGAGATTCTTTGGCAGTTATATACAATTTCAAGAATGCTTTCCTGCCTTTTTTTTTTCCTTAGCATTTGTCACTGATTTTTTTGTGTATTTCTCTCCAAAATGTAAGCTGCTTCTTCTTTTTTTTTTTTTTTTAAAGAGAATATCTTTTTTGTAGATGGACACAACACAATGCCTTTATTTTTATGTGGTGCTGAGTATCGAACCTGGGTCCCGCCCGTGCTAGGCGAGCGCTCTACGCTGAGCCACAATCCCAGCCCCAGATTCAGTATTTTTTGAACAAGAATCAAAAACAATTCCAGTTTTCTTTAAGGGTGTATTTTTGCTTTGAGGATATTTATACATCAAAACTTAGCCAGTGTGACTTTTAAGTGTACG